CCTGTCCTGTCGAGAGCCACCTCTTTCTCGCTGACCCTCTACTTGACCCTCTACTAAACTGGTCCTCCCTGACAGCACGTCCAAAGTACAGGAGACCGAGGGTCGCCGTCCGAGCCCCTGGGGCGCATTCTGGCTGGACTTTTGCCAAGACAACTTTGTCTGTTTTCTTCTAGGCCATTGCTCGCTCTTGCTCTCTCTCTCTCTCTCTCTCTGAGTCGATGTTACTCATAGCATCCCTACGGGCAGGAGAAAAGGCTAGTGGAGAGCTCATGTGTTTCCTGAGGATTCGCACTGTCCATGTGTGGCTGCAATCCAACGTGTAACCTGCGAAGCCACCGGGGCTCTGAGACCATGGTGCCCAACACTCAAAGACTTTCTTCTCCGTCGTCCTGCTTCCCCACGCACACGAGGCGACTGAGACTCCCCTGGTCTGGGCCAGGGGCACCATGCCCTGACATGGAGACGAGGTCTGCACGGTGACTAGCCAGGCCCCAGCCCTCGCCCATCTCTGACGCCGTTTCCCTGGTGTCCTCTGTCTGTCCCGGGGTGACTAGCCAGGCCCCAGCCCTTGCCCATCTCTGACGCCGTTTCCCTGGTGTCCTCTGTCTGTCCCGGGGTGACTAGCCAGGCCCCAGCCCTTGCCCATCTCTGACGCCGTTTCCCCGGTGTCCTCTGTCTGTCCCGGGGTGGCTGACAGGTCCGTGCGAGGACTTGTTTTCTTCATGCTGAGGGTGATCCAGACCGGGGCTGCGGCAGCAGGTACTGCAGGCCTGCTGCCCTTTCAGCAAGCACCGTCGTGCCGTCTGCCGTCACAGGTGGCGATCTTCTCCTGTGTCTTCAGTAGATACTCAGATATGCACACGATCCTCGGAAGGCACTGCCGGGTGTGTGGCAGTAATAACACAAAACCAGGGCGAGGAAGGAGAGCTCTGTAAGAGTACTGTCTCTACACCTCACTAGCTATATAGCAGCTGCCAGGAACACGTGGATTCATGCTCAATGTCAAGAAAAGCAAAACCCTAACAGCTAGACCAAGAGGCACCATCATGATCAATGGAGAAAAGGTTGCCGTTGTCAAAGACGGGATCCACGATCAATGTTCACGGATGCACCAAGGAGCTCCAAAGCCATGTGGCACTGGGTAAATCTGTTTCAGGAGACCTCCTTAAAGTATGGAAAAGCAAGGCTGTTACTTTGGGGGCTAAGATACAGGTATCAAAGTAAAAATGGGGGAAAAGATATATTGCAGAAACAACAATGATGAAGTAGCCATATTAATATCAGACAAAACAGCCTTAATTTTTTAAATGAGAGATAAAGAAGGGCATTTAATAGCAGGGTGACCCATGGCTGTTGTAACCTAACAAGAGAGGCCAAAATATGTGAAGCAGAAGGCAGACAGTACTAAAGGGGGAGATTCAATCACAAAAGTTGAAGACTTCAAATCTCTTTCTTTCAAAAAGTAAGGATCTAGAAGAATACCACAAGCCAGCAGCGTACTTCATTTTCTCAAATTCATGTGGAACATTTTCCAGAAAAGACTATGAACTAGACTTTATTGCAAAACAAGTCTCAATAAATTTAACTGAACTGAAATCTTGCAGAAGGTATTACCAAATTACAAAGTAAACATACAAATTAATAACAAGAATAAAATTGGGAAATTGAACAACACTCTAGTAAATAACATAATGGGCCAAAAAAGAAATCACTAAGATTATCAAATATTTTAACTGAATGGAGAAGATACAATCTACCAAAATGTATGGGATGCAGCTAAAGCAGTGTCTATAGGAAAATGTATACCTATAAATGCTGACATTAAAAAGATCTTAAACTGGTGGGGGGGGGGGGGCCGGGTAGGGCCTGGCCCCAACGGCTCAATGGAAAGTAAATGTATAGAAAAGAACGATGGCAATATTTGTACAAATATGTCAGATACAACTGATATATGGATTGCAACAAGAGTTGTAAGAGCCCCAATAAAACGATTAAAAAAAAGATCTTAAACAAACAACCAAAACTTCTACCTTAAGACATTGGGAAACCAGCAGACTAAATCCAAAGCAAGCAGGAAGAACACAATAAGGATTACAGCAGGGGGAACAAGAAAAGAGAAAAACTAGCAAAATTCAACAAAAAGTTTGATCTTTAAAAGTGATCGACAAAATTGGCAAATCTCTCATAAGACTGACCAAGGGTGGAGAGACAGAAGTCTCAAATTAAGGAAATCAGAAACGAAAAATGAGACAACATTCCCAACTCGGCAGTAGAGAAACACCATGAACAGCTGCGTGTGAAAAAACCAGACGACCTAGATGACACGGACAAACCCCCAGAAAGACACGCTTACGGACACTGACTCCAGGAGGAGAAAAGCTGAGCAGACATAACAAAAGATCGAAACTGTAACAAAAACCAAAAGGTGGAACTTTCCACAAAAGAAAGTCCAGGATTGGTCAAATGGCTGCCCTGGAAAAGAACATCGTGCATGCACAGAGTAGAGCATCTGCAGGAAGAGGACACCCCTGGCCAGATGGACGAGCTCACACTGCCCCCACTGTCAGGCCAGCACAGCCTGCGGGGCCACTGACAGGACGGGCTTCGCCGATGAATTCTACCAAATGTTTACAGAAGAAAGCATGCCCACCCCACCCCATTTCTTCTAAAAAATAAGAGAGGAAGAACACCGACCAGTCAATGAGAGGACAAATATTCCCATTTAAAAATGGACCAAGGATCTGAATAGGTGTTACACAAAATGGAGAAATAATTCCGAAGCACATCAGAGCACAGCATTCCAGTCCAAAACAATCCACTGCTAGCCAGTCGACGCCAACTTATAGGGAGGCTAACAGAAGGGTTTGCAGACCAAGTGTTTGTGGAAGCAGACCTTTCACCGTCCTGTGGAGTGACCAGAGGGTCTGAACCTATGACCTGACAGTTCGTAGTCCAACACAGCAGCACCAGGGCTCCTCTGGTCGGCCATTGGGGGCGTGTGAAATAAAGCCACAGGAAGAGCACTGAACACCACCAGAAAGGCTACCTTACAGTCCAAAGGCTGTAGCTACAGCCAGTGCTGGCCAGTGTGGCCATGAAAGCCTGCAGTCGTCCTTAGACCTGCAGAGATGCTGAGGCTGAGTTATTCAAGAGCAGTCTGACAGCTCCCCAAATGGTGCCACCTTGGTCATCACAGGACACGTGCCCAGAGGAAACCTCTGTCCATGTGTAGTAAGTGCCAGTGGCAGCATAACTCACCACTGCCAGGGCGGGGGCGCCCCGTGGTGCATGCAGGAGCAGAGAATGACAATGCCAGCGTCAGACCCGACGGCCACCCATGAAAGCGGAAATGGCGGATGAAGAGGACAGGCTTTTCTGTCAGCCATTCCCAGCCCCTCGTACTGCATGATGCTCGAATGGCGTGTAAACTATGCCCTGAATAACGTTCTGAGTTTCAAGCAGCAAAGCCAATCAACAGAGGACAGCTGGCGGGGAAAGGGGCAAGCATTCACTGACAGGGACAAATTAGGCCCTACCTCATACCAGGAAAAGAGCCTCCCCAGGTGCCGGTTCCCAGTGCTGTCCTGTGAATCCTCACGGCCACCTACCAGGGAGCTTCGTCTAAAACAGCACCTTTCCCTCAAGGGGGCACTGAGGCACAGATGAATTTGTCAGGGTTCTGGCAGCGCAAGGCTGGTCCCACCAAGCGGGCACACCAGGTGTGTGAGCGTGCCTGGGATCTGGGGTGGGAGGCTTCCTGAGCCCACCCCACAGGGGGACACAGAGGGGCTCTGTCTGACAAAACAGACACCCCAGGCAAAGCTGGCAGCAGTGACCTCAGGGGGCACAGAAGTCCTGCCTGCCTCCATCAGAGCTGTGCGTGGGGGGCATCCCAGCCTGGAAACTGGCCCCGGGCTGGAGCAAGGACCCTGGCCAGAGACATGGTCAGAGCATGCGGGAGGACAACCAGAGGCCCCTGAACAGGGCCTCTCCCACTCATCGTGAAAATGCCCCCACCTTTCTTTTTAAATGACCGTGGACACAGCTAGCCACACAGGAATTCCAGGAAGGCTGGGACAGTGTCCGCAGTATGGTGTGGACAGGCGTCAGTAGGGGGTGGCCGGCCGGGGAGGTCTCCACAGGGAGGCAAGCAGCCAGGCACTGTGACAGGCCCGCTCTGCCAGGCAGGGTTACCAATTTCACTTGATTCGGTGGAATATTCTAAACTCTCTGGGGCCCCTCTGAGGACTTCCACTTCACATGCCAGCATGATGACTCAGCACTTTTCTTATTATTTAGAGAACACAGTTAACTTAACCCTTGCCAGCCTGGGAGGGATCTGGCGTGCTCAGCGCTTTCCCATATATAATTACAAGCTGCTACCCATCACGTGGGGTGGGGTGGGGGGGGCACACGCCACGCCAACACGCCAAAAGGGACGCAGTAAGCACTTCCTCAGAGGCATTTTTGTTTCAAAGGGAATATTGTATGGGAATGATCCCAGGCCTCAGTCCCAGGGCCCCTCACCTGGGCTGGGGTCTGAGGTCGCCCCACCCTCCAATGGGAGGGTCAGCCAGCTGGGCAGCACACAGACAGCCTCTCCAACTCTCAGCAGGCCTCTCAGGGTGGCAGACCTCCAGCCCCATCGTCTCCTCTCACTCACAGCTGGGAGGTCCGCCTGCCCTGCCAGCCCGAGCAGCCCTCCCTGCAACAGGCACCCAGCACACACCCTGGCCACAGCCTCTTCCCTTGGCCCCTTGGTTCCCAGCCAGGAGTAGAAATTTAGGGGGCAGGTCCTGGCTTGTCAACAAGGGTTGTTCATGTTCCCCAGTTGCTACCCCCGGCCCTGGGGTCCCTCTCCTGTACCCTGTCCCTTCCCAAGCCCCTCCATTCATGTGAGAGGTGGGGAAGATAGGGCCAAGCTCAAAGTCCATCCACCGGCCCACCCCCACCCCCACCCCCACCCCCACCCCGCCCCATTGGTCTGTCAGGGCCCTCACCTTACTGCCCAGTGGGCAGTAGCCCTGGAGGAAGTCCTTGCAGACCTCGGCCTTGCGGGATACGTAGACGTGGCTATACGGACAGTTGCTGTTGCTGCAGATCCCCTTCAGGAAATAGGAGCACACTGGCATCTGGGGGAGGGGAGGTACACGGGGGAGAGGTGTTACAGTGGGGGAAGGGCATTACATGAAAGGAGGGGTGTTACACAGGGGCGAGGGAGTGTTACACAGGGGAAGGGGGTTACACAGCAGGTAGGGAGGGGTGTTACAGGGGGGAGGGTGTTACACGGGGGGAGGGATGTTGTGTTACATGGGGGAGGGGTGTACACATGGGGAGGGCAAGGGGGTGTTACACAGGGGTGAGAGGGACCCTCACACAGGTATGTGGGACAGACTGACATGCGGGAGTGAGGCCACCACCCCACACAACTTGCACCCCAGGACCAGGCTGCTGCCAGCTCAGGGGGAGAACCAGCCTGGGCAGTTTCCACAGGGCTCAGGTCCCCCCAGACACCTTTCTGGGCCTGACCTCTGAAAAAGGGCCCAGCCTGCCAGCACGGGGTTCCCCATTCGCCAACCCTCGCAGACCCAGGCCCCAGAGAGGGGCCAGCTGTGTGAGGGTCTCTGCCTCTGCCCCTGCCCCGCCCCTCCATAACCCAAGGGCCCCTGGCATCAGCACCGCGGGTAGGGGCCCTGGTCCGGTGGTCCCCTGTCCACCCCAGCTCAGGAGGGGCAGTGTGGGTGGGAGGGGGGTCGTGCACGGGGGCCAGGGGCGGGGAGGCAAAAGTACAAAGGGCGATTTGCGGCCGCGTTTTAATTGTCTGGTAACGGAGGCCACGAGGGGAGCGGGCAGGCGCCTGCTGGCGGTTCCCTTAATACGCTTTTTGATATAGAGCCCAAATTAGCGCTAATAAAAAGGGGCAATAACGCCGACCCCCTCCCCCGCGGGGGCCCCTCCTGCTGTCGGAGTGGGGCCATTATGGAGAGGAAACCGGCTCTCGTTTCAATTAACCTCGTTCGCACCCACCCCGGCCACACAAATAACAATAACATTCAGTCAGCCCACGCGATGTGCCGCTGGAGCCGCGGCTAATGAACCCGGAACTCGACGTGAGCCTCCAAATGGCTCGCAGCGGAGCTCTGCGGCCGCTTGATTAGGGAGAAAAATGCTGATTCTCCTCAAGCTCCTCAAGGGGAAAAGCTGTCGGAGCAGCAGCAGCCTCTGGCCTTCCAGGGCCGCCCCTCTGGCCGCAGAGGTCATCAGATGGCCCAGGGGTGCAGTCACTGGGGCCCACACCCCTCACCCAGGGAGCCCAGGTTCAAAGCTCAGCTCTCTGGATGACCCCACCTGCTGCAAGTGCAGGGGAGTCGCTGACCCCATGGGGTGCAGGCAGGCTGCTGGGGGAGGGTGGGAGTGGGAGAGGAGGGGGAGGGGGCTGGGGAGGCACTGACCTTGTCTTTGGAGACGTGGTGGGAGAAGGGGCAGGTCCCATCTGTCTTCTTGCAGGTGCCCCGGAGGAACCTGTGGTGAGGAGGGGCAGGGGATGAGAGGCTGGGATGGGTACCGAGGGGAGGGAGGGGAGGGATGAGGGCAGGCTGGGGAGGGAGGCACCTGGTGCACACAGCGACCTTCTCAGGGTCATGGATGTAGGGACAATGCTCCCCGCGGCTGCAGCGACCAAAGCGGTTGTAGTAGGTGCAGTACTCTGCCCGAGGCTCCCTCCTCTTCTGCCGGGCCTGGCGGAGGATGGCCAGGCTGCGCTGCACGGCCCTGCTGCACACAGGGAGGGGCGCGTGAGCCCGGGCAAAGGGGCGCCCCCTCACCCTCGACCCCACTCCAGGTGCCTACCTGGCCAGGGAGCGGCTGGAGCTGCTGGCTGGCTCCCAGCGGCCTGTGAAGGGAGGGATCTGGTCAAGCCAAGCCCATGGCCAGGCTGCCACCCCATGACACCTAGCTCCCCAGATCCTGGGCTTCCACGTGTTGTCCCGCCCAGTGGCCAAGGCCTTCCTGATGACCTCTGGCTGCCTCCAGGGCCCTCAGTCTGTGTCCAGCCCCCGTGGGCTCAACCTCAAGGCTCACTCCTGCGTCGAGTGGATTCCACTCACGGTGGCCCTGTGAGGACGCTGCAGGCAGGGCAGAACTGCCCCTGCGGGCTTCCCAGGCCATAACACTTTATGGGAGCAGAATGCTTGTCTTTCCCCCAGGGAGCGGCTGGCGGGTCCAAAGGCATCAGGCCCAGCCCTGTCCTCTAGGTCCCATCAGCCACCCCTGAGACTGGGAAGTGACAAGCCCTTGCATTCGGCCACTCCGCACTGTGCCTGCCTCCTTGTGCCAAGCCCCACTTTAAGCTAGGGCACGTGGGAGGACACCGGGCAGAGCCCTGCACTGGTGGCCACGTGCTCCAGGGCAGGACTTCCATGCCAAGGTCATGAACAACCCTCAAAGCCCATGCAGCAGAAGGAGCCCTGTCCCAGGTGGGCACAGCACAACACGGAAGGCGGGAGCATGGGTCATGCAGATGTCCATGGCCGGCCGGTTGGCAGGCTGCGTGAGCACCCTGTGGGTGAGTGAGGCGGCAGCAAGGCCCACCCGCCCCCTTTCTCATACAAACCAGATTCCCTACAGGCCACAGCTGGTAAGATGGGCGACCGAGCTGCCCTGGGGCAGTCCTGCCCCTTCAGGGGACCTAGTGCTAGAGCCCCCAGGTGGCTCCCCACCCTAGATCACAAAGTGCCTCAGGGCCAGCCCATCACACAACAGGCTGACAGCCCACACACTCAGACCAGCTGGATCTGCTCCCACCCACACACCTGTAGTACCCGGCATCTCTGAGCCCCAGGCCTGTGGCAGGTGGTGTCCACCTACCTCCTCACCCTCAGACCAACCACCCTAGGGACGGTGGGGGCTGCAGGTGGGGGAGCAGGGCCCAGGCTCCTGGGGAGGGCAGAGAACACCTGTATGCCAGCCTGTGTGGACAACCATGTGGACAGCATGGTTTTTCCAGGCTGTCCCCTGGGGCACCATAGCGCTACCTGCTCCTGGCAGGAGCCCAGGTGCTGCTCACCTGCCTGTGAGGACCAAAAGGGTGAGGGTGGCCCTTCCCTGTCTGCTCTGCATTGCAGGTGGGGCAGGGTTGACAGCATGGGACACAGGAAGGTGGTAGTGGGGGCTGACAGGCACCAGACAGTGCTGGAAGGTGGCAATGTGCATGTGGAATGGCTGAGAAGAGGCGGCAGTGATGGGAGCCAGAAGAGACAGACTGGCTCAGCCCAAATGACTGGCTGGCTGGAGGAAGAGCTGCCCCTCAGGCCAGAGCCTGCTGGGACAGTCCCCTTCTAGGCCCTCCACACCACCACTGCCCACAGGGCTCCTCTCCTTGGGTGACAGCAGGGTGAGGTGGTGACAGAGGTCCATCTTGTGTGGCCCTCATATTGACCCTGCAATCAGTCGCTGGGTGGGGAGACCTCACCCAGAACATGCAGGGCTGGGCCTCTGGGGGCACAGAAGGGGCCTGGGTGCTCTGCTCCACTGGAGAGCCTATGGGTGTCCAGGGGCCACCAATGAGCCTAGAGCCCCGGGAAGGAAGGGCCTGCAGGAGGGGCTCGAGGAAGCCAGCATCCAGGGCCCAGGGCTCCCTCCCCAGAGCCATGTGGGCAGTTGGCCTAGAAGGAAACAAGCTAGAAGGGTCCTTGGTGCCCTCAGACATCCTGCCAGGTGTCCCCACCTCAGCCTCACCCACCGCACAGCCCAGATGGAGAAGGCCGGACAGTGGGGGCACGGGGACATGACCGCCAGGGAGATGTCACACCCCACCTCCTGCCAAGCATCACGTCCTATGAGTGTGTCACTCAGGGCTCCGAAGAGCTTGATGTGCGGGGAGTGGAACCCACGTGCCTGGAGCAAGCTGGGAGCCCTGGAACACCAGGGGCGGTTACAGGGAGGCTCGGCCAGCACTCAGCTCCCAGCCTGCTCCCCACAGACTTCGATCACCACCACAGACACCAAGAGCAGGTCCAATGGCGCTCCTCCCAGGACCCCCCACACACACATCCACCTTCCCTCCTGGGGCTCCCTCCCTCCCCACCCCCTGTCCATTCCTCTACCCTCACACCCACCCTGCCAGGGCCATCCCCCCTGCTCCCAGGACATGCCCCCATTCCCTCCCTAGCAGCCCTATGTTCTCCCCCTCCCCAACAGGGCCTACCCTGTCATAGACCCACCTACCCCTCCCCGAGGATCCCAACCACCCTACAGTCTTCCCTGCTGCAGGACCTCCCCTCCCTCTCCTGCATGCCCCACGCCACCCAAGAGTGCAAGCTCCCCAGAGAGGCCTCTCGGGTGGCCAAGCCACAGTGCTGACGGAGGACATGGGAGCCGGGCTGCCACACACACCAGCACAGAGGGTTTGAGCTAGTCTGCCCCTGTTCCTCCTCCAGGACAGCCCAGCCTAGGGCCCAGAAGACAATGGTCACAGGCTCCCCTGGGCTGGCATGTGGTCACTGGCTGACACTGGCCAGTGCAGCCGCTGGGGACTCACACGGCATCTGTGCAGAGAAGGCCAGGTCACCACCCTCCTTGGGAGCCCAATCAGTCTGGGAAAGGGCTCCTGATGAGGGTGGGTGGGCCTAGATGGAAACACACGTCCTCTTCCTGTAGTTTGTACAGTCACTGCAGCAACACCCCTCCTCTCCCCCAGCTCCTGAGCTGCTGCAGCACAGGCAGCCAGGGGCAACGTAGCGATTACAGCAGTGCAGGGCCAGGTGTGCAGGGTGGGCTGTTACCGACCCTGGCACCGTCGACAGCGAGGGCCTCACATGGGGAGAGGGATGCCCCAGGCCATCTGTACCCCCATCCCCAAGGGCCTTCTGAGCCAGCTGGACCATGGGGACCCAGAAACCCGCCCACTGGGTTAGTCCCAGGCCCACATGTGGTCAGAAGGACTTTCAGGCTGGCTGGGCTGTGGCTCCTATGGAGAGACCCCAAGAAAGGCTCTTTGGGCACCAGGCTAACCTGGCCAGCAGGCGTGAGGGGCCCCAGGGGGCGGGGAGAAAGACATGTCCGGTGGCACTCCTTCCCGAGACCCAGCCCTGACCTGCCGTGGCTGCTCTGCCAGGTCAGCACCCCACCCCCACTGTTCAGCCCTCACCTGCACGGAGGCCCGAGGTCCTGGAGAGCTTGTTAGCCGACACCCGGTAGAGGACCCCTCCGATGCACCGGTAGCCCTTGTTCCGCCACTGGGGCGTGCTGGGTGGGGCTTTCCCCGCCCCGGTGCTTGCTGGGCGCAGGCGATTCAGCACCAGGGACCTGAGAGTACAGGACAACAGGAAAGGCCAGACAGACAGTGGTCAGCTGGGGAAAGACTCAGCCCACCCCTGCCAGCACCTCATACCAGGTGTTGCAGCCCCAGGTGGTGTTACTACACCCACCCACCAGGCTGAGGACACCCTTGAGTGGACGTCAGCTGGGGGCTGGTGGGCAGTCCCATCCTGACAACCTGAGGGGCCGCTGCTGGGTACGGGGTCCCTGGGCAGAGGCAGGGCAATCAGGCTGTGTGCTGGCAGACTCCCTTCCTGCCCCGGGAGGGTCAAGGTGTGTGTGGGATGCTACAGGTGCCATGTCCCTGGGGTCTCACAGGCCACAGTACTCTGGCTCAGGTACTGTGCTGAGGTCCCCCTCCAGAGGCACACAGATCCCCAATGCTACCAGCTGGTCAGCATAGCTGGGCGTGGAGGGGCGTAGCTCAGGAGGGCAGAGTGGTGGGCCAAAGGGCCCCTCCTGCAGTGAGCACCAGAAACAGAAACAGGTGTGGTCCATCTGTGTGTGAGCTGGGTAACCTCTGTGGGCCCTTGAGGACTCATAGGGGACAGCCTGTGCCCCAGAATTGGAGGGAGGGCCAAGCAGGGGGTGGGGGTCTAAGGGAATCCTGCTCCTACTCGCCGGCCCTGAGGGCAGTGCGGGGCCCCAGCCCCATTCTGTAGCATTGTCTCACAGACTGAATTGTGTCCCCCACAATGCGTGTCCACGTGGCTGCACAGTCATTCTCGGCAGCTAGAAAGTTCCATGGGCGTGGTGGGCAGTTCTACAGAGATGTGAGCTAACAATCTCCTGGCCCTCAATGTACACTGGGAAGCACCACCCTCACTCGAGGCACAGCCTGATCCAATGCCGGGCACCGTGCTGTGTGTGGCTTGCAGCCCCTTGTTGAAGTTGATGCCATCAGAGACGGAGGGCTCCCTGAACTGAGAACCTCCTAGACTGAGGGGACAGCTGATGCCATGGCACATGCCAGTCTCTGAGGTCCCTAGGCCCACAGGTGTGGAGTGGACCTCTCCCCTGGGCTTGACTTCAGCCTTCTCTGTTTGCTAAAACCATGCGAGAGAACTACGAGAAGCTATCAGGTCTGGAGGCACTCGGGTCACCAGCCTGAGCCACCACCAAGCTCACAGCTGCCACCCCAGGTGCAGTGGCTCCGCTCTCTCACCCCCACTCACTGTTGCCCATCCCACTGTCCCCTGCCAGCCCCAGGCCCTGGTGTGGTCCCTCATACCTAGTCCACTCAGCTAGGAGGCACGTCTCAAGGACCAAACCCCACCCCCCCAAAATTCCCACATCCCTGCCACTGACTAGATGCCAACTCCTTGGTGACCCTGTGGGTTTCTGAGACTGTAACTCTAGGGGAATGGAGCGCCCGGGTTTCTCGCACAGAGCAGCAGGTGATTTGCCATCGCTGAGCTTGCAGTTAGCAGCCCCACACCCCACTCCTGAGCCTACAGGGCTCCCTGTCTCAAGGGTCTGCCGCTCCATTAGTCTCCGATGCACACACCAACGAAGGAGCCCTGTGCTGCTCAGGGCTAGGCACTGGGCTGCTAACCTGCTAACCTCATGGCTGACGGTTCAGTCCACCAGCTGCTCTGCAAGCGCAGGATGAGGCTGTCTGCTTGGGCACACACTCAGCGTCAGAGGCCCGAGAGGGCTGCTGTCAACGGAACGGACTGGAAGGCAGTGGGTGTGGTTCAGGTTTCTCTGCTTCCTGCGGTGACTGTGTCCACCCCACCTTCTCTGCTGTGGGTTGGGCTGTGTCCCCAGAACTCATGGTGAAGTCCTGAGCCCGAGCACCTGTCATAGGTCATGATGGAGGGCCGAGCCCGAGCCCAACAACTGGTGTCTTCACACAAAGACATGGCTTGGGCCCTGCCGTGGGGAGACAGCCATGAGACAACGCAGGCAAGAGAATGGAATGGGGCAGACACTAGCCAGATGCCAGCAACACTCAGGGGTGGGGACTGGGAGACAGAGCAGGAGCTGGCCCTGCCCATACCCTGGGGCCAGACACCTGGCCTCGGGGCTGAACTCAGGCCCTCCCAACAGCCCCTGGACTTGAGACAGTGAGACAAGTGGGTTAAGCAGGTGGTGCAGCCCTCTTGCCTCAGTGCCAGCCACCCACACCAGCATGCCGAGCAGCCGGGCACACAAGGGCCTGGGGGGGTTACAGTGGCACCGGGGGGGACTGCAGGGCAGGTGCCTCTGCCTGGTCTCCTCCATCCCCTCCACTGCCACCCCCTCCTACCCCCAACTGCCCTGTCCCTAGTGCTCCATCTTGCTCCAATGGCAGCACCTTTAGCTAAACGGGCGTCAAGCGTGGGGCGCATGGGGCGGGTGGGCACTGCCCCCTCAGATGCCTTGTAGCTCTTCACGGGCCTGGTGTCACAGTACTGCAGTAAATTGTCACCTAATGGAAAGGACGGCCTTTGGAAACGAACTGCATTGAGAATAGAGGATGAAATTAATGAGATAATCGCCGGGCCAAGGACCCATGCGCCCGCCTGCCCTCTCAGCGCAGGCCTGTAATTCCTTCTCTACAACGGGCCTCAGATCTAGACTTCTCCCATCCGTCCGCAGGCCAAGCCGCCAGGAAATTTCATTAGCGCGGGGAAATAGGAAAGGTATTAAGCGTGGATAATGAAGGGCAGGGAGGGACCGGCACTCTGAGACGGTCTTCTTTCTCGCCTTTGTAATGGGTGCCGTGAACTCTCTCTTCAAATCCATTCCTAATCCATTTGAAATACTACAGCAAATTATCTCTCCCTCAGCCCGAAAGCGGCCAGCCAATTTACTCCGAATAGAAGTGACAATGAACCAGAATTTATCACCATAACCTTGACTACACGGGGTGAGGGCTGGTCCTCCCCTCAGCCCAGTGGGGGCACCAAGGACGGGTGGGGAGCCGCCAACGCAAGGACCGACGCCACTCTGTCGGCTGAAAGGCCAGCGCATAGGGATGCTCAACTGTCCACACAGTGGGAGTGTTTGGATGGTGGAGGTGCCGAGTCGAAAGCCTGGCCAGCAGCCACCCCACAGGGCCTCAGGACAGACAGGCATCCCCAGGACAGAGGGGTATCCCCAGGACATTGGGGCTTCTAACCAGAGGGTGCCCCAGGGCAGGGCCCAGAGCTAAGAGGGAGAGGTGGCCCTGGACCCCACATTCAGCTTCCCGGGCCCTGGAAACCTCACTCACAACCCCTTCCCGGACATGCATGAGCACCTGTGAGCATGCATACATATAACACACAACATGCAAATGCAGGCTAACATATACTTCTACACTACATGCACTCTCTACACATGCTGTATGCATGTGTACACACTCACACATGTGCATACATACACCTGCATCTTGCCTGAGCATACATGCATGCAAGTGCAGCACACATGCACAGCGGACACATATACACCCTATACATCCATCTCATGTGTACACACACATATGCACACACACACCCCATGTGCCCAATGTATCCATACACATACAACATATGCACCTGTGCATGCACACATATGCTCCAAACACCCCACCCATGTATACATACACATGTGCATCCCACATATATGTACACACCCAACACACTTCATGCGTACACATCCACCCCACCCACCCTCACATACACACAGGCATACACCCAGGTGCAACGTGCTTGTACACACATGCATACCACACACACAGCTCAAGAGCACACACACCCATATGCACCTCATGTGTATGCACTTACACCCCACACGCACCTGTGTGCATACACATATCCCACACACATCACCTGTACACACATATGCCCTACCCTAACCTCACAGGTACGCACATACGCTCCACATGCACCTCACGTTTATGTACACACCCCATACTCACGTTATGTACGCACACACCACATACCATACATACACAGGTATATACATAGTAGATGCACATCATTCATACATATCTGTAAATCATACACACACTTTATGTATGCCCATATTCCATATTTAAACAAGTGTACATCACTCACATGCGCATCCACACGTACCCTGTATATATATACACATGTAAGCCCTATATACACCTCACTTGTACTCACACATCATCCCACATGCACTGTACATGTGCGCACATGCACCTCATACATCCCACATGCACTTTGCATGTGCACACAGTGCATGTGAGGTGAGGTATGTGTGTGCACACGCACCTCACATACATCCCACATGCACCAGTGCACATGCACATCCTGGGGTGACAGCCTCAGCACTGCATCAGCAAGGTCTCATCCATCAGACAAGGCACAAATGGGACACTCACTCTGTCCCCTCACTCTGCCCCTGCACACCCCTGCACAGGTTAGGTCTTACCTCATAGGGCTCAGAGCTTCCCCCACCCCACCCCCTGGGGTCTTGTGTAGGCCCCCTCAATGTTCCACTCCTACCCTGGGGATCCTGGTGCAGACTCTTTAGGGCAAGGGCAGCTCAGACACTAAGCACTAGGCCCCACCCAGGTATCCTGCCAGATCCCCAGAGAACCTGCTCTCTGTACCCCACCCAAGTTCCGCTTGGTCTTCCTGCCCCACCCCCAACAGAGCACTGCCAGTGGCTTTGTGTAAAAGCCATTTTAGATACCTTCCTGACCCCTTGACACCCCCACCCCAGCAGTTCCCTGGAGCCTCACACTGACCACTAATTCCGGCACACACAGGCTCCTCCCAGCCATGCCCTTGGGGAGTTCCCAGGACCAGTGGGCACGGGACACTGGGAGCCCCCTCCTGGAACAGCATGGTCCAGGGGCTGGAGCGCTGGACTGGTGACTGGTGCCCTGCCTGAGGGCCAGCAGGGGCATCCAGAGTTGGGAGCAGGGCGGGTTGACCCTGCTGCCCGCTCAGAACCACCACCCCGTGGCAGCACATGAGCTGGGGATGCAGGCACACAGCAGAGGGCCAGGCTGGTCAGGAGCGCCAGGCGCAGGGCAGGGGCAGGAGGGGTTCCCAGGCCAGGCTGGGGCT